TGCCTCCAACCATCAAGTTGTTTTTTTTATGAATTAAAAAAAAATGAATGAAAACATTTCTGCCAAAGGTTTGTTTTCTAGTTCTCACAGTCACTTTCCTTCAGACAAAACATGTTCANNNNTGCCTTTTACAACATTTATGAAATTAACCACATCCAGATATAAAGACATTTCACACAAATGCCAACGTATTAAATAATATAAAAAACTCGTGTGTCAGGCTTTACAGGGTTAAAAACAAACTGCAGAAACCAAAGGCTCGGCCCCCTGAAACTCCTACACCTCCTCCTCCTCCTTCTTGTCACTAACCCAGTCCATATCAGGTCCATGCTTCTCCATCTTGAGCCCACTGAGTTCCTGCAGTAGATCAGCACAGAGGCAGCTGAGGAGTGGACCTGACTCCACCTGACTCCACCTGACTCCACCTGACTGGGCTCTGTGTTGACTTGGTCTCAGAGAGTTTTTTGGTGTTGGACTGCAAACGTTCTTTAATTATAATGATTCGTTTCCTGCTGCAGGTGATGAGATGAGATAGAAAGGATAAAGTGATTGGAAAGATGTGATTTAATAAAACACCTCATTAAAAAATGCGACGTGAGAAATAAATCAAGTGGACACGATGGTATGAAGTTATGAGATTATGTGGGATTTTAATAAAAGCAGTGAAATCCCACAATGTGGCACAAATGAAGGTGTTTGTTTTTTATTATTGTAATCTCAATCTGCAGCAGTAGGAGTGGAAGCAACAAAAGGAACAGCGGCAGCTGAAATTAATTGACGTTAATTCCCTAATTTAATTCAATCTTTAATTCCCTTTTTCCTGATCCGTGTGTGTTTATTGGTGACACTGTTGTTTCACTGCACTCCTGTCTCGCTGCTAACAGTTATTCAACCCAGTCATAATTATTTACAATTAATTGTGATTAATACATTTTTTTAAAATGGAGTCCCTTATTTGTCCCACAATGGGGACATTTAAAGTGGGAGTCTTTGTAATGACATAGGCTGCCACATAGTAGGCGCCATTAGGGACATGTGGTTCCTCTGGGAATCAAACCCCGGACTCTCAGATTTAATTGATGTTATTCTATGGTCTGTATTGTCATTGTACCACGAGGATACAACCAACCTGAGCCTCTGCTGTTAACACATCACCAAGGGGAGCAGTGGGCAGCGTGTGTGTGTGTGTGTGTGTGTATCAGTCAGGCTGGAGATTATATTCATACATTTGTATATAAGTATGTACTGTATATAAAACAACAATTGGTAACTGCAGTACCGACCTTCGTACTACAGCACCAACAGTACCAATCTTTGTGCTGACTGCAGCCACCATAACTGAGCCCACTCATCACCACCACCGTTTTATTTCCACCTTATGTTTCTCCTCCTTTCCTCTGCCATTGTCACAGACTGAGTGAATATGTTTGGGTTTTTTTGTTTTTTTTTTTACTTCCTGCTGGTGAATTCTCTCTGTGCTTTGTTTACTGGAAGCAGCTGCCTGTAAACACTCTCTCTCTCTCTCTCCTGTCAGGAGGAGAAAAGGCTGCTCCTCCTGCAGTGAGGAAAAAATAGACTTTTTCATAATAAAGAACTCCAGATGCAAATACACACTCACACAGAGAGAGAGAGAGATGGACCCGAGCTTTTATCACCCTCACTTCCACGGGCCGCATCCGTTACTCTTTAGCAGGACGTAGTGATAAAAGGGGAAATTTCAGCAGCATCTGTAACATCAGTAACAGCAGCATCAGTAACATCAGTAACAGCAGCATCAGTAACATCAGTAACAGCAGCATCAGTAACAGCAGCATCTGTAACATCAGTAACAGCAGCAGTAACAACATCAGCAGTAACAGCAGCAGTGACAGCAGCATCCTCTTCCTCCTCTTCTTCACTCTTCACTCAGCTGTAACCCTCTGTCGCTCTTTCTCCAACTACTGCAAACAGCACAGAGGCTGCCATAACCCTCAGCCGTCCTGCCAACTCTTCATCTTCTTCTTCTTCTTCTTCTTGCTGTCACATGCAGGTTCATCCAGAAGAAAACACCTGACACCACATCTACACATGTACACAGCAGTCTGTGGGTTTGGGAGACGCTAACCTTCACTGACAGACAGATACAGACACTTCAGTAGTGACTGTTACAAAAAAAAAAAAAAGACATGCAAATGGACGTGCACGCATGTCATCATGATGACAGCCGTCCTCACTTCCTGTCTGAAAATCAACTGCTTCCTCTTTCCGAACTGATCGGATCATTCTTTTTCTGTGCTCCACTTCCCTGTAGAGCTTCTCTGTCTTCATTTTTATGATTTCACCTGCAGCACAGCAGAGGTGCATACAACCACTGACCGTGAATAACAGCAGCAGCAGCACAAGTGGAAGAAAACTGAGCTGGACAGAAAGTTCCAAGAAGAAAAAGGTTTTTTTGAGAAAACCATTGTTTGGGAAAGTTGTTGCTAAAAGACATGAAACTTTCAGTGGTTGTTGTCCATGTTTAGCTGAGAGAACATGAACAAAAACAACCTTGAGTGATTCATAACTGACGTAGAACACAGGAGAGTCAGCATCAAAACGAGAGAGGAGAGCAATCTTCACTGAACAGCAGGGCCTTTTTTCATCTTTTAGTTATGGTTTTAGCTTTTGGGGTTTGTGCTGATGGTAGGTAATGGTTACTTAATGGTTACTTATGTAGTTAGAGACTACTTTTGTGTCCCTGGGTTTTGTCGGCAGGTTAATTTGATCTGTTGTATAACAACAAAATGGAATTTGTTATTTTAGTGCACCCCAACCCCTGGGCCGTGGACCCATAGAAGAATGCATAATTATTTATTAATGGATTTTTTCAATTTTAATTATCATTTATTATTAGGCCTTAAAACTGCTTCGCCACTTGGACACCAAGCGTTCTGCAATAAAAGACAAGCGCGATGTTACGAGGAGGCTGCTAATACAGTTGCACAGTGGCACGTTTATTATTATATTTAGAAAATACTAGTTTTTTTATGCCCGTTGTATCATTTTATTGAGTTGTATTTACGGATGTCCGATATTAACTTTTTGCCGATATTTGATATGCCGATATTGTCCAAACACTAATTTTTCGATTCCGATATCAACCAATGCCGATATAGGGGGGCAGTGGTGGAAGTTAAGTGTTGCCTGCTCACTAAGGTGATGGGTTAAAACAGAGTTTCTGAATTATTTTCTGCCCCATACGGGGCAGAATTGAAGTACTATTGAGCGCCTGGTAATATTTATTTATTAATTTCTACAAACCACTGTAAGAGTTGTTGGCACCAGCATTCTGCTGCAGTGCTGCCCTCCGGTGACTAGAGGCTTGTTTATCGTTCATGATGTTCTGTTTTTGTGTTATGGAAATGGTTCGGGACCGCAATGGTAAAATTCAGTGTGTGCCTTTGCAACTAGCTTTTGTGCTAGCCTTATGTTATTTCCTGTTCATGTTTAGCTTATTGGACATTTGGACCTTTATTTATCTCTTAGCTTTTGTTGTCAGCTTTTGAAGTTGCCAGTTTTTCAGGGGTTTGTGCTAATTATCAGTAATGTCGTACAGGACATCAGACATGTCATCAGTTGTCTTAGCTGTTCATCTTTACCCTGTTGATGTTGCCCCTCTCTCCTGTTCATACTGTTGTTAGTGAAGAGGCCTGATTCCAAACCTGTCCAGTGAGGACTGACAAATCCACTGCCCTGTGGTCCAGGTGGAAGTGGGCGGAGTCTGATGCCCCTCTCTCCTGTTCATACTGTTGTCAGTGAAGAGGCCTGACAGACCTTCTCAGACTCTGTTCTTTTAGGTCTTGGGTGAACTTATTTCTGGAAATGTCACTGAGGGCTTGCCTTCAGGATGTGTTCAACTGCGTCCTGCCATGACAACAGACTTTCTTAGTCAGAGTTCATCTGCAGCACCGAGCTTTCATGAATGATAATGTGAGAGTTTTCAGACACAGAAATCTGTGGAGTCTCTGGTTGTCTCCAGTCTCTGGACCATGGACCTTCAGAACCAGAGACATTTCTTCTTCAGTCCCTGCTCTTTTTAAAGAACGATGTTAAAACTCACACTGAGGACATTAACAGGAAGTGTTTCTTAGCTTCGCTGACAGTTTCAGACCAATTATGGACAAACGTTTGACTCAACCAACCTGAATCAGACACACGTTTCTTTTCATCCCCGGGTTGTCCTGGTCTGCTGACACATCCATGTTGAGACGTGAAGACTAATATTTTTAGTTTGCATATTAAGATCACAGACTTGAACCAATAAACAAATACGTTCATTAACTAATAGTCTGCTCTTCACATTGCTGACCCACAGTTTCCACATTTTTGTCAGTTTCAAATAAGAATATCATTTTTTTTCTTTTTATTCTGTTTGTGTTTCTGTAATTGGGAGGGTTCTGATTCCAAAAATCCATTCTCCACCAGCTCATAAAAAATTTGAAGAACTTTGAAAGAAATGTGATAATATCTTCTGACTGAGAAAACCAGGTCAGTGCAGCATTTCAAAAAATGTGTGAAAATATTTAATATAAAATGTCAGCTGTGATTATTCCTCAGGACAAGGAAAGGTGTCAGAGACAAAGAGAAGAGGGACAAGTCTGAACCAAAAACCAGCGTATTACACTGCAGAACTGTGTGTGTGTGTGTGTGTGTGTGAACTATATTAAAGGAACATCAGTGACTCACTACATCACAGATGATTTGAAGGCAGCTTCTCCTATGAAAAGCAGAAATAGAAATGGCGACTGACATTACAACAACTGAACTCCTCAGAAACGACCGTCGTTACACCAGCATCCAAACACACCGTGTCTCCAAATTCAAAATCACGCAATTTTGATGTGTGTTTGTTAAACAACGTTCAAACTGTGCAGATGAACATCCGTTTCCTGTTGTTGTTTTTGCTGCTACTGTTGTTTGCATCATTGTTAGGTTTACAACAGTGTTGTGACTGATAGATATCTGTCTGACTCCTGCAGAGGCGCCCTCTTCTGGTATGTCCAAGAATGGATACTTCTTTCAAGAAATGGGTGAGTCTGAGTCACACACAACACAAATCTTTCCAGAATCTTTCCAGAAAATATGTTTTCATATTCTGTTGTTGTTTTATTTATTGACAGTTAGTGATGTAAATAAGACTAGAGAAGTTTGACTTTTAATAAGAGGAGATCAATGGTTTTTTCTATTCTGTTATTGAAAATTACAATTGTAAAATTGCAAAATCGCAAACGATATGATACGGTGCGTTTCCCTCCAGCTCCTCGGCCACCTTCAGCTCGTCTACAGTATTCAGATAGAAGTGTTGAACTGTGCTCAGGTTCTAATGATAACAGCAGCTTCATTATCTCCAGCCAAGGAGAAGACACCAATTAGAAAGAGAGAGAGAGAGAGAGCGGCAGAACGTTCGTTCAGAGAGAACCTCCTCATTACTCCCACTGCTCCACCACAGCTCCTCACTCAGCAAAGTCACGACAGAGTCCCTGCGGCTCCAAACACCTCCACCTTCATCACCAAAGACTCCTGTCAGGGTGGAGTCACTGTGAGAGAGGAGAGGGCGATGTATGAAAGGGTGTAGACAGAGGGGAGGGGGATCAACACAGAGGGGTGAGAGAGAAGATGATGGTGATGATGGAGAGGAGGAAGAGGAGGTCTAGGGTGAAACAGGTCAGTGTCAGTGCTAATGAGGTGGTTGTAGTCAGTGTCAGGTCGGACGGAGAGGGTGGAGTCCTCCACCTCTGACCTTCGTAATCTTTATCCTCTTGTCATTCTTTCATTCAGCTGTGCTGCAAGAAATATCTTTAAAGTGAGAAAGTGCAGAGAAGAAACAGGCAGTGGTTGTTGGTTTGACGATCACTCAGCTGTCAGAGTCAGTTGTCAACAGTCGACAGTTTTTAGATGTGAGCTCTACAGACACAGAAGAAGTTCCTGTTCATCGTCTCTTCACTTCTGTAGTGTAGCCAATTAGACGCCGTCTCTCCTATAAACACCAGCGTCTCCTCATTCAACCATGGATGCTGTGTTTGGTTGGTGCTGCTTTACAGTCAGATGAAGGTTGAAAGACAAGTGTGTAAACACTGCTGCAGAACACACTGTTACAGCAACACTTCCATTATTCCCTGATTCATCTTGATCAGTGGTTCTTCAACAGTTTCTACTCTGTACCACCTGAGAAAACTCAGCTCTCTGAGTACCACCATGATGACCAACATTAGAATTCCCCTGCTCGTTCCATGTTTGACTTGCAAGTGATCCCATGATTCTGTGCTGCCTGTGCTTACTGAGCAACAGACTTGGATTGCAGCAAAAAAAAGCAAAGTAAAAAAAAAAAAAGCAAAGTAAACTAAATAAATAAAAGGACCAGACGTCCTATTTCATAATCTCACAAGTAGCTACACATTTTTCGAAATATTAAGTGTAGTATTACTAAGTATTAATTGTGCATGGTATGTTTCAATTCATTTAATTGAAAATGTAAATGTGAAAATATGAATTTTCCCCATGTACCACTAGAGAGCGCTCCACAGTTTGAGACCCACTGATCTAGAATAACTCCTCCTTAACAACATGTTGGTTTTCACTCTTCACACACACAGAGGAAGTACTAGCAGTAGTTGTAGTACTACTTCATGGTACCGTGTCCCTTTGTCTGATAAATAGTCTTATATATATCTCTAATATTCTTATTTGGAATAAATTCTCTTCCTCATATACTGCTCTGTAATCGGTCTGTGCTGGTTCATACTGCTGTTATAGATACTGGTCACTTTTTTTTGTTTTTTCATTTTTGGGTGTTAATAGTACCAGGAGGTTTGATTGTCAATACTGCCACCTACTGCCTCATTTATTCCTCCTAACAAATATACAGGATGTTTTTAGTGGCAATAAAAAGTAGGAAAATGGAACCTGTTGGCCTGGAAACCTTTGTGGTTACATGGAGTTCTTCACAGTGAACAGCAACAAAGGCTGTTGAATGTTTTATTGTCCTCTACATCTTATTCTGACAAGCTCTGCCATCAGACAGAACAAGACTTTCTAAATAAATTCATACATTGGGGTGTGGCGACGTGACGTGACGAGGGTGTTCTGATCGTTAGTATGAGAAAAATGATGGAGACCAAACTACTCAGTTTTTTGGTGTGCATTTAAGTTTACATATGAAACAGGAACACCTTGGTGAAAATAGGACTAGCAAATATAATAGTGAGTACATTACGTACAAAAACACATCAAGACCACATGGAAGAAGAAGTGGTTAGCAGGCTTGCCTTACAGCAGGAAGGTCACATGTTCAATTCTGAGCAGTAACTGCTTGTCCTTCTGTATGGAGATTTCTTTTTCCTACAGTGTGTGTGTGTGTGTGTGTGTAGAATCTCCAACTTCCCTCTACAGACTACAGTTAAGCAGATGGGATTAAGTAAATGTTAGTGTGAATGGTCATTTGTCTCTGTACAAAATCATCCCTTCAAAATAAGAGTCAGACCAGTAACAAGTCTGATCCAGACCTAGATTTTTAAACATTCCCATGGATGAAGCTTTAGAAGCTTCTGTTGGTCAAACAGCCACTCATCATCATGTGGATCAGGCCGTTGAATCTACGAGCAGACTGAACACCACAGTCAGTTTCTGTCTGCTCACCCGTGCTGCCGAAGGTGAAGTGAAGGTCAGAGCTGAGACACAGGCTGACGACGCACACAGGTTCACACCGTGGCACACACCGAGCGAGGACTAATTCATGCCTCCACCCTGACACCCCACCCTCCAGCAGTAGATGAAGAGCAGCCGAGTTGGTTCTACAGCCACAGATCCATGGTGTTCAGGTGGAGCTGCTGTCTGTGATGCTGCTGTCTGTGATGCTGCTGTCTGTGATGCTGCGGGTGCAGCTGCGGCCGCTGATGCTGTTGCTTCTTTTACTGCTGCTAACATTGCTGCGAGTGTGGATGAGTCACACACACCCTAATGGGGATGTTTGGTATTTGGTACAGAAACACAGGAGTTACACACAACCGTGTTTCCCTCATTTCTACTTAACACACACACACACACACAGAGGGTCAAAGTGATAATTCAATCATTAATGAAATAAACAATTAAATAAATCTACATGAATGCAACTGTTGCAAAACATCTGTTTTTTTTCCACTGTCAGCAGACACGACTTTTGAATAATATCTCTCGGTCACAGCAGTGTTCCAGATAAGATCATTTTAACACGTTTATAAAGCTTTTTGTTTTAATTAATATTGAATAGAGACATATAATTGAAACATTAAAATTACCTTGTAAGCAAGCAAATACAAACAAGTGGAACACAAACTCTTCAACTCAATCAAATTATTTTTTAATATTATTATAATATTAGTTTAGTGCAAGAAACAAAAACATTTTGAAACAGGTTTCATACTAAGAACAGATGATGTAAAGGATCAAACTCATTCCCTGTGATGAAGCCTGTCGTTGTTTGCTGTAGCGTCAGTCAGTCTCACATTTGATCGTCTTCATGTAGAACTTGATCTGTTGTCAAACTGTGAACCTGAAGCTGACCTTGCGCTGTTGTGTCCCCAGAGCAGCGGGAGGTGGAGCAGGAAGACGGCAGCGATGGCCGAGAAGAGGGACAGGACTCACCGATCGCCTGTGGAGACGACATCCACCTCTACGACAACCAGATCAGTCCAGGGCCAGGTAAACCATCTTGGTCCTCCTTCCTACCAATATGTCAGGGTTTTGGTCCCGTGTTCCACTGTGTGTTTGCTACACTGCTGCTCTGTACTGTAACTGTGCAGGCATAAAGGCATCGTGAGCTCTGTGCTTTTTCAACACTTGTCCTTCATACAGTAGTTGTCCATTCACAGGAACAGTTATTACCGTTATTTTAACATGGGGACAACATAGTGTCACTGTCATCTTTAACTTTTGGATCTAAGGTTAATTTAAAATAGCTCTCTCTGCTGGATCATGTGGAAACTGCAGTTGATGTTCAATTATACTATTGTATAATTTCTTTTACTTTCAGGAAAAATGTTTTTCTCCTCATATTATTTCACTCTGAGTAAGGTTTCTTGTGGAGGCCAAGGGAAGCCAGCGTTCCTCACTTTTTTCAGGATACAACCGTCATTTAATAAAAACGCTGTCGTCTCTTCCCCTCAATCTTTGAGAAAGCATTTTATTATGTGTAAAACAGCGCCCCCTCTAAATGTTATGTGGTGAATGAGTGTTGAAAACGTGGTACTGCACTCTGTTGTCCGTGAGCAGGTCATTGGTGTGTCCTTCATCGTAGCCTCTCTCTGGTACTGAAATATTTGAGCAGTTTTTCTGTGTGAAACCGGTCTGTAGTCCACAGACTAACAGCAGGTGTTGAAGAGACAGACGGCACCTCAGCTGCAGGTGCAGACCATTCTGACCCCATCACCACCAACCTCAGGGGTCAGTGGATCACTGTAACCATGGCGACAGTCACAGGTGCCCCCTGTGAAAGCTTCAAACTCCCGAGCAGAGATTCCTCACCGGCCAATAAGAAACAAGTTTGAATTTTTAAAAATGAACAAGAATAAGAGAGAATCTCTGCAGGTGTTTGAACGGATGTGGTAAATTTTAGCTGTAGGAAAAAACCAGTTAATGTATGATGTGCTCAAGGTTCTCCTGTGGTTCCCCTTAGCCACAGGTGCAGAGACTGTTCTCCATGCTCAGCACTCACTCTCCTCACATTGGTCCCCTGCATTATTCATCATCGGCGGAGCTGAATGTTTTGTTTGGAGCCTCAGAGTCAGGCTCATTATCCGTTCATGTTTCTGCTTCAGCCTCACTTTGTTTCAGAAATGATTTTTCTGCTTTGTTTTGGCACATCAACAGTCCAGTCCAGATCCTCACCTCCATGTCAGGGCTAAAATTACCTCTGTCCACGGTGATGACATCAGACTCACAGGCAGAAGGTTCTACCTCTGTCTGATCCAAACCTAAACATCAGTCATTTATTATCCATGATAGTTTGTTGATCAAAGATGTGGCTTCTTATCTCAGAACAATTTAAAGAGTATTTTTAAAAACACTTGTTTTTAACATCCCTGATAAAGGTCGTACATTGTTCCTAATAAACTGACGAATGCTTGATCAGTACAGTACTCAGGAACATTATTGATGATCAGACCTGAAGACGGCCTGTCTAGAAGAGATTCCACGATGGCATTCCATCCATGCCAGCATAGAACTCGCTTCCACTTCACTCCCATTACTTTGACTGAATACTAGTCTTCAGTCTGTCGTCCTTGAACCTGGAGTATGAAGGCTCTGAAGGTCAGGCTTTGACCTTGATAAGCCTGACTCCCAGCACAGTTCTGTCGATAAATGAGGATTGATTTCATTTGATTCAATCTTCCCTAATTAACTGACATCACTGTTTCGTTCGTTGTTCGTTGCTTCCCTCCTGTCATGTCTCTGTTCCCCGCCCCATACTTTGAGAAGCACACCCGTAAAGCAACAGCTCTAACCTGTATCTCAAATCTTTCAGATACAGGTTTTCATCCAGTGTGCCTTTCTTCAATCCTCCACTCTCTCCACCCTGAGTCAAATCAAAGAACCCCCTCCACCCCCCACCCTTCAACCCCTCCACCCCACTCTGAGGTTACATAACACTGTCGTCTGACTAATATCATCAACAGTTCCACAGTCACATTGGTCCGATCAGGAACCGACTGGGAACCATCCTGACTCAGGTTTTCACACATTCCTCTCTGCCTGATCCTAAAGCTGGAAGATTATCTTTAAGCCGGTGGGTTTGTGGAGACGTTCAGATCCTCCAGGATCAGGAGATCACTGAGGAGCAGTTAATCTGATGTGAATTCATACCTGGCTGAGGCTTTTGTCCTGACGACTGCATCTGAGCCTCAGCTCCTCCGTCTCGTCTTGTGAGAGCGGAGCCGCTCGGCTCTGCAGATTTCTGATTGTGAGCTTTTTGATGAACCAGAGCCGCAGCTCACGGCACGTGTCTGCTCCTCAGGTTCTTCACAGGAGGCAGGGGGTGGGACGCTCCTGCTCCATCCTCCCACCTGCAGGGCTTTTATGAAGGGAGTTGTCTGCCGATGCCATCAAAGCCCTCCCTCCTCCCCTCCTCTCGCCCTCAGCTCGTTTCCTCCTCCTGTCTTTCTCCTCTCATTTCCTCTCCATCACATTTCCTTCTTCTTGCCAGGATTAATGATATTCCTAACTCCAGCTGCCGCCTCGGTCTTTCCCGCTCTTGTAGCCCGTGGTTGTCTTTCTGGAGGGTGGGGTTGAAGGCTGATTGATTTTTAGACAACACAGCTGTCACGTTGAGCAGTGCAGGGAAGCCCATGGTAACCCACCCCTCTCCCCTCCGAACCCCTCCGCCCCACATTGAACAGCTCGGCTACAACCTTACATAATGCTGTTATAAAAGTCAGCAGGAGACTGGAGTCTTTCTAGAACCTCCTTCTCCAGGTCTGTCCTTTTATCCCCACCAACACCAACTTGCTAGCAGTGACATCAGCTTTTGAACTTGGCTTTTGAACATTCTGTAGTCTCCTCTGTATTTAACCAGTCAGTAGAACAGTGGGTTGTGACCACAGTGTGTCCTGTTGGGGCAGGGATTCAATCTGGCATCCCATGATGACAGGCCTGGATCTTTACCCACTAGAGTGGAGATTGTCCTCATCTGTCCATCATCTCTGTAGGTTTTCACCTCTCAGTCAATGTAAACAGTTGAACATATTAAATAACAGAACTTGCAGCAGATTTGAATGAAATCCACGAGCTGGGGCTTCTGGGGATTCTGGGGCTTCTGGGTCTGCCTTCTTTGACTGTAGTGAATTATCTTAAGATGAGGGATTAGAACCTTATCAGCAGAGAAACTTCCCATCTCTGTTGGACCTCAGCGTTTAGAGACAGGCCTCTGACGTTTTCATCAGCGTATGAATAAAATAGCATCTTAATCCTCTTTGTATTAAGGATGGCTTTTTACCATGATCTGTGGTTCAGAACCTTCTGTAGCAGCGTGGCGTCCAAGTTCCGTAGTTTTTCATCTTTTCATGCGTCTGTTCATCAAACTCAAACACCTGCTCCGACTGTGTGAAGTTGTTACTGTTTATCCAGCAGAGAGTGCTGTGAATGCAGCTTGATATCAGATGCTTATTCTGCTGTTAGCAAGAAAGTCAAAATAAAAGAAAGTTCCATTTACTGTCCTTCATACGCTACAGCCTCATCACCACAGCTGAATCTCAACTGACAACTGCTATGCTGACCTTGACCTTGATGACCTTTAGATTTGCTTTTAATTTCAGTCCAGTGCAGTTTTTTTTCCTGGTTTTTCACCATGGTCCCTGAGAACATGATCTGACATGAAACTGTTCTGTGATGTATAATCGGTTTAAAGACAAATATTTTTTAAAAACTCTTATTGGACCTAAAAAGGTCAAAACTGTTTCAATACAGAAAATAAATGTTATAAAAGTGTTTTGTTGTCACACTGCTTAGTTTTCTTCTTCTTTTTTTCCCAGAAAGCGACGACTCTGGCTGTGTGTTACTGAACACATCAAGACGGGTACGTTTTCTTATCCTGCCTAACTCACTGTGATGATATTGTTATAATAACAGAGATTCAGAGTCCTGGCTCAGAAAACATTTAGGAAGAAATAACAGAGTCATTTTGTCAGTGGTTGGTACTGAGCTCTGATGATCTCATTAGGAGTTTCTACTGATCACTGTATTTAACCCAGTCTGAGCTGTGGCTGTGTCTGAGCAGAGAGAGCTGCCGCTCCTGCTCATGATGGGATTCATCACATTTTCACTGAATTCTTATGTAACAGAACAGAGCAGAGCAGGAACTCCTCCCCACCACTCAGCACTATTGTTGAAATAAAAATCACATTTTTGTTGGATGTTTGGATTTGGAATCAAATCACTACATTGTATTGATAATAGAACTGGAAATGACAAATTCCTATCTATTCCCATCTCTGGCCACCGTCCTAACTCATGGCAGAGAAACAGGTTTAATCCAGTAATTATGTGTGAAGACTTGAGGGTTTTAACCAAGCTTCCTAGAGTCGGTACTTGTTCCTGCAGACACTCACCTGGTTCCTGTCACTAATTCCCTCCATTCTGTGTTTGTTTGTGCTCTTCTTCTGTTTTTCATCAATGCCACATTCTCTGATAAACTGCTCTGTTGTGAATCTGCTTATCTGAAAAATGTTGTACGTTAGAGTCGACTCCAGCATGGTTGTTGTGGCTGCAGCAGCTGCTATATCTCCACTTCCTGGAAGAAGGACCCGACAAGTTAACACTGAAACACTGTTAAAATAAAAACATCTCTGGACCAGAGCTCCGGCAGAAGCCTCCAATCAAAACAAAGCAGGTCTATTTTTAAGAGTGTCTTACACAAACTCCTCCATCAGCTCTCAGCGGGAACTTTCTGCTGGCTGCTCGTTTTATTATAAAGAGAGTCAGCGGGGAATCCACTGGTCTTTAGAAATTCTGTCCTTCACTCAGTTGGCCGTCAAAGGAAAAACTGGTAGGAGTTCCGACACTGGATCGACCAGAGTCCATGTTTCTGTCCATCTCTGTGTCCTCTTCTTCTTCCTCTGGGCTTTTTTGATTCTTTGGTACATCTGCAGGGTCACAACATTAAGCTGCTTTAGACACTGGTTCACTGCACTGTTACAGGTAGAAAGGGGGTAAGCTACGCTAAACTAACATTTTAGCCCAATGTTTACAGAAACATGGCACAAAATGCTGTTAAAATGTATTTTTAAAACAGCTTGAATTTGGGAGAAATATGAAAGTTCATTAATGTTTTTGATGTAAACAAGTCAAAAATATAAAAAAAACATTCTATACAAATGTTAGGTTGGAGATTGTGTTGGTGAGACTGTTTCTTCTCATTCACAGTATGTGAAGCTGATGAACTTCGAGGAGGAGGTGCGCGCCCACAGAGATCTGGATGGGTTCCTGGCCCGGGCCAGCATCCTGCTGGACGAGACGGCCGCATCTCTGGACGATGTTCTGAAGAGAATGTTGCACCATGTGGGTCAGGACAGTCACACCTCTGAGCCGGGCTGCAACTTTGAGGAGGTGATGAGTCTGTTGTTTACAGACGCAGGAGCTCAAGAGGTGAACGGTAAGAAGAGAACTTACTCAGGCTCAGGCACTAAGTTCCCATGGTCCTCAGCCCGCTATCACACCTTCACTACAACGTCAGACAACTGAACAACACTGACCTATCACAGACACATGGAATTATAGGTCTGGCCCAGTCGTGGGTCACATAGATTCCATTCTTTCGCCCACTTACAGAGGTGGATTGTGGGTTTTTAGTGGCCAACATCTGGTAATTTCGGGACATATAGTTCTGGCACTGTGTTGGACTAGGCATATTTTATTGGTGTACAATTTGTAGTGAAAAGGTGGGCCACATCCCAGAAGAATTGTGGGCTACAAGCCTTGGATGGACTTAACGATGTTCTCAGCTGCTGATAGTCCTTCATAGATGTTCTCAGCTGTTGATGGTCCTTCATAGATGTTCTCAGTTGTTGATGGTCCCTCACAGATGTTCTCAGTCGTTGATGGTCCTTCACAGATGTTCTCAGCTGTTGATGGTCCTTCATAGATGTTCTCAGTTGTTGATGGTCTTCTTTGAGTTTTTGTGCTTATTTTATCTAATCACAGGTGTCCTCACCTGCTGGGGGCAGTGTTCATGTCACAGATCAGTGAGGTGAAAATAGACTTCTGTCATCCATCACTCAGTCAGTTTGTCACATTGTCAGGGAGAATCTCAGAATCTGAACCTTTGGCAGTTTCTCCTCCTACCAGAAAAAAGTAAAATGATAAAATGTTTTCTCTCTGGAAAAAATATTTCTTTACAGTTTTAGAAACCTGTCTGATCCATTCAGAGACTTCTTCAGTGAAGTCTGATTCAGTCAGAGTTGGCACATGAAATAAGCACATCACTAAAATAATCTACAGGTATGAACTGATGGTGAACAGCTGTCAGTTCAGAACCTGTCTGTGCTGGTTAGTGAAGGACGTGTGGACATGTGAGACTGATACTGACCAGTTCTGATCAATGGAGCATTTTTTCTTTTCTATTTCAGCCATGTTTCTCTGTTTCCTAGCAACAAAGCTGCATTTAAGGACTGAAAAAATAGTTTTTATGAATATTTTATTTGTATTTATTCGTTCGAAGTTCCCTTGGGTTTGGAGCATAATTTATGCTGACTATAGTCAGTTGTCCTTGGTCCTTGATCAGTCTTAAAAAGATCGGTCCACGATAGAGAAAGGAATCCTGGGACATATTTGGACCAGGAGATTGTTCTTTGTTAAAGAGGACAGCATCGTGTGGACCAGGGGTCACTAGGTAGATCTAACGGACTCTCAAATGTGTCCGTGGAGTATGTTCTAAAAATAAAACTAGTCAACAAGAGGGTGGGAAAATTGTAATGAATAGTGTTGTTGTTGCGATGATGTTCAGGTGGAGTGCGTCTGCTTCTGTATGTCCCACTATTACTACATAATTCAGGAAGTGTGTATCAAACAAGGAGCTCTTCATAGTACACTTGAAGTAGCTCTCAGTTTGAAAAGGGCTGCAGACCTTATTGAAAGAAAACAAAACATGATACATGAGCAATTGTGTTTTTTCAGGTTTAATAACCAGAACCAAAATCCAAGACACAAGTACCAAGTAGCAGCAGAAACAATAGTCTCAGCAGCGGCAGTGGCATCAGCAGTACAGATGAGATGAACGGTGATAGTTCCATAGTATGGAGGAGGAAGGATGAAACGTTTTTTGAAAACTTCTGAACCCATTCAAATACAGATGTCTCTAATACAGACACGAGATAAAGTCCATTCACTTCCACAGGAATGAGCAGCAGGAAAAAAACTAAATTCAAAATACATCATTTCTGACGGTTTATTTTCAATCATTAACTAGAATGGTATAATTAAATGATTGAATTATATAATTGTCTCATGTTCAATGATGCCGTCTCATCAGTCACAGTCAGACGCATCAAAGGGAACTCTGAGGGTGGAACTGCAGGAACAAAGGTCTTTCCTCGGAGTGAGCCAGTTCTTATCAGGAGGATGTATTATTCCTGGGCAGGTTTTCATTTATTCCTGTGGAATCTGAGCTCGCACACACACGGCAGGAGCAGCAGCAGCAGCAGCAGCAGCAGCAGCAGTGATTCCATGATTTATCTATATATATATATACGATATAGTGATACTCACAGAGTATCTATTGAGTATTGGTTACACTCAAGTATTAATTAAAAAATAAATAAGAGCAGGGGTCAGGAACCTATGGCTCCCCCCCCAGCCGGGGGTCTTTTGGTGACTACATCTGGCTCTCAGATAAATCTTAGCTGGCATTTCTTAACACAATAAGTAATAAATAATTCCGCTGATATTCAAGGGAAACATTACAGATTAAAATAATCTTTAAAAAACATTTTTGTATATTTTGCGACGGCAGCGTACTCCAATCTTGCGTTGTGTGAAGTAATTGCAGTCAATTCATCAGCTTGGTACGTCATCTTTTATTTCTATCATAAAAAGTAAAAAAAAAGTCAGTCTATTTTGTAGCAACACACGTGTCACTGAAAATATCAAATAAATAAAAGTACAGTTAATGATGAAATTAAAGTAATAAATTAAGACGGAAATGACAGAAGCTTGACGTCACAAATCTCAACCAAAGAGAGCATTCTGGGCGGGGCTCTAGGGTTGTTGTTTCTGAGAGTAGACTGAGCAGCTGGTTAATAAAAAACACAATTCCACTTGTATTTGGACAAGCAGAGTACTGAAGTACTACGTAAATGCAGTACGCGGCCGCAAACCACCTTGAAAATCATCTTAGATGAAAGATGTAAGACGTGGACTTTGGTGATGATTCATTAAAAGCCCTTGATAAGTACTAGGTTCCTCTGGTCCTTGAACACACCGCTCAGCAGTCCGACGACGACTGTGATCAGCAGCCGACGCTCACTCCTGTCCTGAAGCTGATTGGGTGAACGGATGTCATTACTCTACCAATAACTGTCACCTCTGATTGATCACAGCCCCACTCTTGTCATTAACATAACTCTGCTCTTTGTTTTCACTCAAATCAAAGTTTAAAGCAGACAGACAGCTGTGATTGGAGAACAGCGTGACACAACAGAACCTACCCTTAATCACTGCACACACACTGGCCTGACTTTGTCTACTACACATTTAACTGCACACACACTGGCCTGACTTTGTCAACTACACATTTAGTTTTTTGTTTTTTCATGACTTGTGATTAACCAGATGTTGGCCAGGCTTCAGCTTTCACCGCAGACTGAACTAGAAACAATAGCTGTATTTTTAATTTCAGCTTTATTCTAGCAGGAAATTCCTCAGAGCTGATGAAGAGCCTCAACAGCTACAGTTCGTCTAAAAATAACACTCAACAAGCAACACAACACGACAACAGTCGGACATGAGGGAGTGGGTTTATTAAAGGCAGTGATATTACAGCTGATGTGATCCAGAAGGTTCTACTGTATGTTTCCTGATCTGAGACTTTCATTTGAACATGCAGTCAGAAGGTGAGCTTGGGTTAGTTTTTTATAAGTACATTAAAACTTTAAAGGACTCCACTCTGTCCAAAGGTGTGTGTTGACTCCACCCTGACAGAGACTTCCTGGACTTCTCCATAGCCCTAGAGTCCGCAGCAACATTCCAGGGCTGTTTGAAGGGGGCTGTCAGTCATCAATGTCAGAGTGGGAATTTACATTAGGTTTTTGGCCCTGTCACAGGTAGGGTGCCTCCTGGTGGCAGGGTAACAAGCTCTGTATCCTGGTTGGACAGTAACTTGGGTGAGGACGTTTTCTGTAAAAATAATAAAAACAACAAAAAGGTTTTTTGTTGATGAAAATTTTAGGTACTACACCTGTCAACGAAGTACCATAACAGTCCCAGTACTTCCTTGAGTTCTTGCTTCCATGTGGTGGAGTCCTTAGTTTAACTTGTCCTTCAGGTGTACCTGGTGGACACAGACCCAGTCCCTGGTACTTACACACACCACTTCCTAAAATGTAGGAGGTGAGAAATGGTCCAGCTGGAATGAGTCTGTTTGTGGTGAGGCTTGTGCAGATCTGCTGGATGGGACCTGGGAACGCGTTGGTGCTGAAGGACTGTTGTGAATGTGAGGTTTCTATCCATGTTTGCTTCTCTGAGTGTAAACACACTGACACTCTAATGAGTTCCATTCATCAGTGAAAGGTTCTGTGTGTTTGTGAATGGGTTCCTCTCTGCTGTAATCATCCGTCTCCTCCAGACTGGCTCTGTGACCGCTCTCTGTGAAAATCTCTGCAGAACCCTCTGCTCTGCGGGAATGATCGGAATACTAAATTGGGACCATTTTTAATTCCGTCCCTTTTTCCGGCAGATGAAAAATGGAGGAGCTCACGTGTCATTTTTCTCCTCCTGATCTCTTCATTGACGTGGATGTGGTTCTGAGGGCTGCCTGCCACTACTGATAAAATTCAATCTTTGCTAATGGCCTGTAGACGCTGATCCAGATCAGATCCTTCTCCCTGCTGCCAACAAAGAGCAGACACTGAGGGATTTTCCCTGGAAAATCTCCTTTAATATGCATGAGCTGCAGGTGAGCAGGAAATGAAGCTGCTGTTCATCACTGGTACCTATGGACCAGTCCAGCAGAACCTACAGTGTCCACCTACGCTAATGTTCTCAGCGCTCACTGGAGATCTTTAACCACAGTCATGGTTAACTCTTGTCACTAAGACGACTTCTTAAAATGGAGCCAGAAAACATTAAAATAATGAAAGAGTGGTTAGTTACTCACAGCCCGAGGGTTGCTGGTTCTATACCCGACTGTAACTGCTGGTCTTACAGCACGGACTTCTGTTCTCCCTGTGTGTGTGTGTGTGTGTGTGTTTTCTACAGGCACTGTATTTGTTCACTCCTAAATGACCAGTGTTGGAACCTAAAAACCAGAAACATCAGAGGAAACGTCAAAGGCTCATGTTTGGTTTTATGTTTGACTGATGTACAGAGGATTTTTGGGCTGTAACGTTATTGAATCGTAGGAGGAGGTACCTGTGGACAGATGGTGCTGTACCGTGGTTCGGGTCACAGTTTACCGTACGTTCTTAGCACAACGGATTATAAACAGGATTTTATTTGATGAAGCCATTTTAATTTGCCGGCTTCGATGACTAATGACAGAAGGATGAGACGGAACAGAGGCAGGAGTTTTCACCTCCGACTAAACAGTACTGTGTGTGCGTGGTCGTGTGTCCGTGTGCATGTTTGTTATATTGTTTCCTTCTGATCAGACTTAATTTTTCTAACCTTTCTTCTGTTTCTCCTTCCTCCTCCTCCTCTTCCGCGTCCTCCACTTCCCTCTCTTCCTCCTGCAGACCAGTCTCAGAGTTTCGTTTTCTTTGACGATGGTAAGCTTTGTTAATTAAATACAAATGTCAGCAGCTGTAATCAGTGTGTTTTCATCACTTCGCCTCCATCACCATCAGTACTGTGTTACTGTGTTCCTCCCCTCCACACTCAGGTCTGGGTCAAAGCCCTCAGTCATCACATGATTGCAGAGGACCCCCACCACACCCCCGCAGATATCAGTGTCTCTTTATCTCATCCTCCAATCATGTCCGTGAAAACTTGATGTCCGGTAATGGCTGTCGGCTCAGTGGAACCCTGTGAGACAAAGGTGTGAAGACCCCGAGACAGAACCAGAACACCTTCACCTTACTGTCACGCCCTCAGACTATTGTTGACGTACTACAGTCAAAGTCCACTTAAGATCATGTAGGTTAGTCCTGGTGGAACCAACACGTCTCTGAAGCCCCTGGTCCTTCTTGTAGCTTCATCAGCCAAAAGTCGTCTTTTCATTAGAAAGCCAGGAAGACGTGTGCAGCCAGCTCCACCCACATCCTGTTCTCTGGTCTTAAATCAGCAGAGACTGATCAAATGTGATAGTTACTTTGGTGAAAACACACACAGCTCCTTGTTTGGTCTCTAGTTCCTGGTACATGGGTTTTCAAACACGTTTGGAAGATGAAAGAATTTCTTTGAATTTCCAAAAGACATTTCAGCACTTCTTTACCCTCAGAATGTCCACGGTTCCTGCTCCTTGTTCCTGGTTCCATCTCCTCCAGGGGAACTGTTCCTTCAGTAGAACAGTCTTTGCTTTTGTCTGTAGTACCTCATTTTTTTTTCTCAGAATGGAGTCATTTTTCACAAGCTGACTCCTTGTTCTGTTGGAGGAGGGACAGTGGTGTCTTAGTGGTTAAAGGAGCCGGACTTGGTCCTGAAGGCTACAGGTTCGAGTCCACCAGCTTTGGTTGTGTGCAGTGGTGTGCTGTGTCACAATGACGGAATGAATTTGTCTGAAGTCTGATAAGAGTTCCTTTGGTGTTGCCCCCTGGTGGTTCGAATGCTAATATTAGTCTGTGCTTTTTAAAAGTTAAAAAAGTTCCCACTGACCGTCTGTGGATTGAACAGTGTACTGAGACGTGTACAGACCCCCTGACTGTCTTACCTCCTCCACCTTTACCTGTGTAAATGGTAAGACCTGTGGTGCGTGGGTGGTGTCAGCGTCACTGATCCTGTGAGTTAGAGTCTAAACCTACAGCTCTTGACATCAGCAGCTCAGTGTGGAGGTCAACGTTCTTTTTAGCTTTAATGTCATTAGTTTCCAACCCAGCGTCAGGAGAATGGAATTGACAAGCTCTCCAGATAACGAGGTTCCACCATTGACCCAGTCCTAGAGGCTCCTCTCATCAGCATGTGACATCATCTGTGCTCCTCCGTGATTGGCTGTGATGGATGCCTCACGTGCACGTTTTTCATACTGGCACTAAAAAACATGGAGGAGTTTTAATTACCTCCTTCACAGCTCCTTCCTGTGTGTGTGTGTGTGTGTGTGCGCGTGTGTGTGTGTGTGTCCTCGCGCGTGGGTGTGTAGATTAAGTCTCAGGTGCAGCGGGGGCTGATACCACAGTTAATCTTTTAGGCAGCAGCAGGAGATGAGGAGGTTTTATGGAGGTCACCTCTGATTTTAATGTAAAGAGTCTCCTCACTGAAGAGACCCCAGTGTGTGTGTGTGTGTGTGTGTTGGTGCACGTGTGTGTGTGTGTGTCCTCGCGCGTGTGTGTGTAGATTAAGTCTCAGGTGCAGCGGGGGCTGATACCACAGTTAATCTTTTAGGCAGCAGCTGGAGATGATGATGTTTTATGGAGGTCACCTCTGATTTTAATGTAAAGAGTCTCCTCACTGAAGAGACCCCAGTGTGTGTGTGTGTGTGTGTGTTGGTGCGCGTGTGTGTGTGTGTGTCCTCGCGCGTGGGTGTGTAGATTAAGTCTCAGGTGCAGCGGGGGCTGATACCACAGTTAATCTTTTAGGCAGCAGCTGGAGATGATGATGTTTTATGGAGGTCACCTCTGATTTTAATGTAAAGAGTCTCCTCACTGAAGAGACCCCAGTGTGTGTGTGTGTGTGTGTGTTGGTGCACGTGTGTGTGTGTGTGTCCTCGCGCGTGTGTGTGTAGATTAAGTCTCAGGTGCAGCGGTGGCTGATACCACAGTTAATCTTTTAGGCAGCAGCAGGAGATGAGGAGGTTTTATGGAGGTCACCTCTGATTTTAATGTAAAGAGTCTCCTCACTGAAGAGACCCCAGTGTGTGTGTGTGTGTGTGTGTGTGTGTGTGTGTGTGTGTTTTCTTCTTCACCTCCATATCTCTGTAGATTGACTGCTCATGTTCGTACCACAACAACATCCTGATAAAACACCAGCATCACAGAGTTTCTTCTTTTTTTTAATGTTTATCTCTTCTAAGATACAATCTGACGAACACCCAGACAGTTGAAGGTGTAGTTTGCTGCGAAGCCTCTGGTCATTGTCACTGTCTACAGGCGTGTACACAGTGGTACAGCCAAACTCTGAGAGACATCGGTACCAGTTCCTTCTTACATCTTTTTTGATAAAAGGTCCATTAGACTCGATTTTTCTAAATCGATACTTATGGCCATAGTTAAACACAACCATCAGTCGTGGCCCAGTTTTGCTCTTAGTATTAACTCTGTATAAAAGTATTTTGCCTGTAGTCTGCTCTCAACACACATCTGTCAATGATGTGTTCTGTTTGACAGAACACAACTTTTTTAAAATGGGACAAAGATCTAAACTGTGGATTGTTTCCTGTGACACACTTTGTCTTCTGTACGTAGCTAAAAATATATATAATTTAAATTAGAGCCGGCAGATCAGAGAAGCACGGCGTTCATTTATTGATTAGTGACACATAAACTCATCCCCATGTGCATTGAAAGTTTCTTTCTCTGTGGATGATGACAACACAAAAATCAGCATCAATCCTATAAGATCAAAGATCTTGGTTCCAGACGTTCCTCTGTCACATGTCACCATCACTTCCTGCTTCAGTTTTTTATTTTTTATTCCTTTCCTTTTTTTTTTTTTTTTTGTTAAAATCTGATGAAACTCTGCACAAATGTTGATGTTAGTGACAAGAATCTAAGATGCTTCAGAATTCGTCTCAGTCTCAGCAGCTCATCTGTTTTCAGCTCAGCTGCAGCAGAAGACTAGGTATAAATCCTGGCAGCTCTGGTCATTTGCTATAGGTGCTTCTTTGCAGTGAGTATTTATAAAAGGGGAAACATGTAGAGACAATAATTCCTAACAAATAATCACTCCAGAAAACATCCAGGTTGCCGACCCGTAGGCCTGTGACAGGGCATGTCCCCCAGCAACCACACTGTGGCCCCTACCAAAACCAACAAAACAATTACGATTCTTGAATCTGGTAAATAATCCCAAACAGTCCAGGATGGATGGACAACACGGTTGATGAGGACGACCTGCTAATGTTCTACCTGTGCTTTAAACGCACTTAGCTCAGACTAAGTAAATGTACCCACCTGCCTAAAACTTCTGCACAGTCAAGTATAAGAGTACTACACAAACAGTACATATATTTATATACAGTATTTGTCTTCTCTGTCTGCTATTCATTGAAACCATTCAATTAAACCTCACTTCATCTCCTAACCCTCACCCTTCTGCTCCTCTGCCCCCCCCCCACCCTCCCCACCTGTGTCCTGTCTCTCTCCTCTGCCCCTTTTCCTTCTCCTCCTTGTTCCTCTGACCACTCATTTTCTCTGGTCACGCATTTATTTTTAATCTTGTTTGTCCAGATTTCTTTCTTTTTTCCTTTTTAACAACATCTACATGTCCTTGAAAAAAACCTTTTCCCCCTTGTATCTCACTTTTTACATTTTCTCCTTCTGTCTCTCCCTGCCCTCACTGTCCTCCTTTACTCCTCCTTTCTCTGCATTCTTTTTCTCATCATCCTTTATCCTCACCCTCTCCCTATGAACCTACGTTGTCTCTCTCCATCTCTCTCTCTCTCTCTCTCTTGTCTCTCCCGTTCTCCCTCTTCCTGAGCACAGTGATACTGTTGTCATGGTGACACCCATCATTTTCTGGCATGAATGGAGAAGACTTTATTGATGAGATGGAGGGGAGAGAAATGGGGAGAGAGAAGGAGGAATGGAAAGGAACAAAAAGAAAAGAGAGAGAGAGAGAATGACATATCCAGAAAATGAGAGAGAGAGAGAGAGAGAGAGAGAGAGAGACCCAGTGGCAGGGAAGACCAGGATGATGTGGGAAACATGGTTTCCTGCTGCTTCACATACAGAAACCTTTTCAGATGCAGTAATTTGTTGAGCACTAACGAGTCAGAGAGAACATTACCAAACAGAACCTGCTGAGTTTTTCTACCCTGAGTCCAGAGTAAAGAAAATCCTCTCCCTCCTCCAAACCAAAAATCACTCGGTGCTTCATCGGTGTGAGCGAGGAGAGAGAATCAACAGGCTGCAGCTGCCACAGTTTTAATGATGTGTAAACACGGAGTCATTTGTTACACAGTCTTTAAAAATAAACAACATGTTGGTCAGTCCCTGTGGCTCAGTGTTCAGTCTCTGAACTGGAATCAGGGTCTGGATCAGAAGGTTCCAGAGCTGGCTGGACTCTAATGATGGAGACGTCAAAGGGTTAACGACCAACTGCTTCCACAGGAGCGTGGTTCGACCTGCTAAACGTTTTTCTTTCTAACTAGGCTTTTTGCTGGCACAAAGGCATTACTGCTCGGAGAGTGACGCTGCAGCATTATCTCTCCGGTGACTCTGGTTGTAGCAGAGGAAGGAAACGTTTGACTTGTTGTGAAATGAGAACCTGTAGCCTTCAGAGGACAACATGAGCAGAGAGGTAGACCTGTGCTTGACCTCTGACCTTTGCTCCACAGTTCACCTGCTGTCAGAGACCATCCAGGGGGTGACGGCCACAGCCACAGGCATCCAGTACCAGCAGTCCTGGCTCTGCATCCTGTAAGAAGCAGTGTGTGTGAATGTGTGTATATGCGTGTGTGTATATGCGTGTGTGTTTCACCTTTTCCTCATTCGTTCCTTTTGTAGCTGTAACGTCAAACATCTGCAGCGACGTCACGTTTGCATCTCGCGTCTGGAGCGACCACAGAACTGGGGAGAAAACTGCTGCGAGGTCCGATACGTCATCCTGATTCTGGCACCACTCAAAATGGTGAGTCCCGTCACTGACCACTGATGAGCAGCTGTAATCTGAGGGATTTAATAATCTCACTGGATTACACACAACAACATCTCTTCATTTCTTTTTTTGACCTTTTTTGTTTAGCGTCTGACTTAAGTAGCAGATCAATTCAGTACAGAATCTATTGTTACTACCTTTATTGATCTAATGGCATTTAAATGTAAACTCTGCTTTAATCAGAACACTGCTGCTGCTGTGCACAGTCATTGAAAACAAGAGTAACTCCTCCACTCGTCTCAGTTTGTGGAGTGTTACTCATGTTCACACTCACAGTTTTCACAGTAATTAATGCTCTCATTAATAAAAGCAGTCAACTTCGAATCCAACACAACCACAAACTGATACTTTCATCTGCTCCGCTGTTGTTTCTGGCTTCTTTTAGACAAACATCTAAAAAAAGAATGTTTTTATCAGTTAAAAATAGACACAGATAAATACATGTCTGCAGATAACAGTGGAAAAATCTTCAAAAATAAAGGTCGTTCCAAAAATATCTACAGGTTTGTCAGGAATAGAATAAAAAAATGAACAATAAAGAAAACATGTCACAGCCGACAAAAATGACAAATAATTCAGTTTGGGGAAAAAAAGACAGTTACTCAGATTCTGACCTGAAATAAATAACAATGAAAAAAATCATTCAAAAAGTCTCAAATGCAAATAGCTTTATGAAGGATTATGGAGTAACTAAACACAGTCCAGGTGTGACGATTGGGTCCAGAGCCGCACTTTGGACAAACCGACAAAATGGTATTCAGTGGCGTGCATCATTTGATGGATCTAGTCTGATCAGAACTCTGTCTGAACACCACCTGGACCACAACACTCACATCCAGTTTACTGTCACTGAGTCACGTAATGACTGAAGAATCTACTTCTGGTTCCATCCTTTAAAATTGCTTATGAAAAACAAGCAATTGGTTTACATCAGTTTAGCGTTTTCAGAGTTTCTTATTAATCAACACCTTGTTTGCTCCGTTAACGGTCAGACAATTCTTCTTCACAACAGTTCCTATAGTGACTGTATGGTTGGTCAGCCAACACGGTGCGGCTCTCCGTCTTCTGCCTGAGCCGCACACCTCCAACAATGATGGGAAAAATACTCCAACAGATTATCATCAACCTGAACGTTTCACCTGAAGAACCTGGTTTTGTTTGTGTGTCGACAGAAAAGCACGAAGACGGCCATGGAGCTGGGCAGAACGTTCGCCACCCTCTTCTCAGACATTTCCTTCAGACAGAAGCTGCTGGAGACCAAGACTCAGGAAGAGTTCAAGGAGGCGCTGGTGTTCCAGAGACATCAGCTGACAGCCAGCCACCAGCAGCCGGTGGCCCTGGGTAAAGAGACGGACCCTCGGAGCCACACACCACTCACGGTCTGTGGTTGAATGTCACTCAGTGTGTGTGTGCGTGTGTGTGTGTAGCTGTCTTCCTCGTGTCCTAGATTCAGGTGTCCTCAGGTGCCTCTGTGTCCCTGTGACTGCTGCGTCCACCTCTGTCTTCTCTCTGGTTCCTCTGTTCACTAATTAAGCAGTGTCTCTGATTTGCCTAATTTCTCACACCGTAAAACGTTTCTAAACACTTATCAGCTGGGCTGTTAAGTGTTCTTCCTCACAAGATGAGTCATTGATTTCAATTACAACTACATCGTCAGCGTTGAATAATTAACACCAGCAGAATCTCAGCCGGACATGATTCCATCTCAGAGAGAGCCTCAATATTTAACACTTTCACCAGGATTGTACGAATCGCATCGGATCAGAACCTGAGCCCTGGTCCTACACCTGGCTGTCTAAATGTTAGCTACTTCTGATCTAACTTCTGATCTCTAGTTTTGAATATTTGTTGCTATTTTGGTTTAGAAAGATGAGAAAGTCTGAATTTCCATTTTCTGTCCACAGTGTAAAGACTTCTTCAAAGCGGGCAGAGGGATTTATGAGGACCTCTGCCGCCGATTGCCCTTCTACCCCTCGGACTTCACAGATGGTAGGCTGGACTTGGACTGGTCCTAAAGTGAATCATCTCCCTGATTATTCCTCCACACAGTTTCTCTGCCACAGCCTCATTTATCTTTAAAAAAAATCAACAAACTCTGAAGCATCTGTACAACATCTGTGTCATGTCACATGATGATGATGATGATGATGATGATAGTGAAGATAATGATCTTGCAGTTTACCTGTGTTATACATACACTATATAAATACGATGCACAAATGAAAAGCTAGCTGTGAAGTCGCCCCCCGGTGGTTGACTCGTGCTTCCCCTTCTTGAGCTCTACCGTCTTCTTCTCTGTTTCTTTTCATCTTTGTGTCTCACATTGCCGACCCATGTGGGGGTTCGGCTGCCGAGTACATGAGTACAAGGTTCACAGACGAGTACAAGTACAGGTAGATGTAGGACCACATGAATGGGACTAATGGAATAGAACAGAAATGATTGCACTTGTAAATGAAGCTCAGAGAATGAAAAGTCTGACATTCTCTTTCTGTAATAATATGATATAGATGTCACTTCATTTATATCATCCTGTGTGTAATTCCTTCTGCTAATGGAAATTTTCCCTCGTAAATTCCAATGGCTGAATTCGTTTTGAATTGTGCTACTGCCATCTAGTGCCATTCCCAAGACATTGCTGCTGTCTTTTATATTCTTTTATGCCCTACATATTTTCATAGTCTTTTTGATTTTTTAAAAGTACCCATACTGTGTGTTTGCGTGTGTATTTCAAAGTACCGTACCTTTTGGGAGCTTTACGTTACAGAGCACTTACATTACAACAATGAAAGATTTCTAGAATCTTCTTGAATCTCAGGACTCATCCCAAACTGGACGACTCCACTTAGCACTTAACTCAAAGAGCCTGTGGCAGAATCTCAGAGAGTTTCTGTCTCAGATGGTTGTGTCTTGTGAGCGTCACCAGATCCTGATAATGTGACAAAGGTCACAAGACCAGAGCCACGTCAAAGATTTTTTAATCATTGTTAAGATAATGACTGCTGTTCCTTTGTGTAACAAATAAACAAGAACAGGAAATGTTGTTACTGTGAACTGACTGTGAACATAAATAACCCAGTGATAAGCTGAGACTCTCTTTTCTTATCCTGTAAGTGGTGCTGTGTACATATTTGACGCTTTCTTTATTGATTCTGGCTACTATAGCAATGTTTTATACAAGATATTGTAAACTTGGTCAGAACTTTACAGAACATTGGGGTTACTGGTTACTGGCAGCCACTGGCTACAAGAAATAAACACTGTTAAAGCAATTAAGCACTTTTGTGGCTTTAGCGTGCTAGCATCTTCCAGGTTAGCATTATTTTAGAGGTGCGCTAACTTGCACCTCTAAATTAGCAGCCTGTGAGGGGGCAGCTTATCAGCACTCTCTACTTTTCAGTTTAACTACGTAACTGTGTTATTTAGCTAGTTCTAGCTAACCCAGCCCACAACAGTTTAGCTAGTTCTAGCTAACCCAGCCCAACCCCTAACCTCAATCCAGTCCTACCAGCAAAACCTTCAACTTCTATTAGAGCCACCTACTGGGTCACTGGACAAAATAATTTAATTTGAAATTATTCCATGGGTTATTTTGTGAGATAATGTTTGCTGTTTTTTCAGTTCTCTCTATTTCTCTGTGGTTTCTCAGGAATCGTTGGCAGTAACAAAACTCTGCTGAAGTACATGACCACAGCCATCTTCCTCTACATCGCCATCCTCCTCCCTGCCATTGCCTTTGGATCCCTGAACGATGAGAGCACACGTGGCGAGATTGGTACAATCCAGGGGTTGAAAGACTCCAATTGTTATTTTTTTACGTCAACACCAATGTAGTCGGGTGGACATCTACTAGTTGCTAATGACATTTATATGTTTGCAGTAACTAAAAAAATCACAGTTTTACTGAAAAAACAGTACGTTTTAATGTGTCGTCTGAGCATGTGAATTCATCTTTAACGTTCTCCTGGGTCATCTTCTTTAATGCTGCTGTTATCCAACCTAGGGGTTGTGACCATTGATATGTCTATTGATAAACCCAAATGGGTTCACATGACTTAAACAAAAACGTCTCTAGGGTTGTCAGAAACTTGTGATGTCAAGCCAAAATAGGTTGTGAACCACTGCCCTAACTCAATTAAAACACCTGAGTCAGAAATGTGTTAAAGAAAGTAGCACAGAACTAGGATAAAAATACTTCTCAATATTGTCACAAAAAAGGATTAGAGAAATGAACAACAATGAAACAAACACCAGCTAAAGTCAGTCACATTAGCCTCAGGACGATGTCAAATAGTCCTTTAATAAGGACACCAATCAGTGGGACACGTCAGACATTCACTAACAGCTGGATCTTCTCTCCCAGATGTCAGAAAGACCATCATTGGTCAGAGCATCGGTGGAGTCATCTACTCTCTGTTTGCTGGCTCCCCTCTCGTCATCCCTCTGACCACAGCTCCTCTGGCCATCTTCATCAGTGGTATGACTCTGCACTTCACTGGACTGTTACACTTTATAATGTTTCAACAATACAGACTTGGCCAAATTAATTAACGACGTCCCCACCAAAGACCGTTGGTCTCTTACCTCAAGTACTTGAAAAGAAAGGCTGAAAATAAGGGGCGGGGTAGTAAATGTGCTCACCTGCCTGTAGCTATTGAACAACGTGTTATAATCTGAATCATATGTTTATAATATTAACGTATGTGTCCTTCATCTCAGTCATCCGGGGAATCTGTGACGACTATAACCTGGACTTCCCGGCCTTCTACGCCTGCATCGGTCTGTGGAACTGTTTTTTCCTGATCCTTGGAGGAATTTTTAACCTCAGTCTGCTGATGAAGCTTTTTAAGAGGTACTCTAACATTTCACCTGATCAGACCTGTCGGTGTGTCTGTGAACATGTGTCCGTGGACACGTCTTCAACCCTTCAATGACCCTTCAATGTGGTCTGGTCTCTGCAGGTCCACTGAGGAAGTCATCGCTCTCTTCATTTCCATTGCATTTGTGGTGGATGCAGTGAAGGGAACGGTGAAAAGTGAGTACTTTATGAGTTCCACTCCAGTAGGTATTTGACCATAGAGATACTTTAGAGTTCCCTGTCTACAGTGAGGTGAGGCTGCATGTGTGTGAAACAAAGAAAACTTTGATCTCCAGGATTATTATCAATAATGAAAGTGAGGTCTCCAGACATCACTCCACTTAGGACTGACACAGAAAATGCTCGGGTGAATTTTCAAATGTGATGTTAAAACAGAAACTTCTTTGGCTCCTTATACACCTATCAGTAACGGTGAGTCTGTGTCTATGTCTGTGTCTTTGTGTACTGTCTTTGGGCCTGAGTCTGTATCTCTGTCTGTGTTGATTGTATTACAGTCTAATGTGAGCCTGACCTCAGACCATGTGTGTTCTCCAGTCTTTCACAGATATTACCACGCTCCCACTCTGTCCAACAGGACTTCACTCAACTGGTCTGCTGGTGCAGAGGTGTTTGGAGGAAACAAGAGTGAAGCAGCATCAGGTCTGACCTTTAACCATTTCCCAGAATCCCTCATTCACTGCACACGTGAACGACCCCTCCTCTGTCTCCTGCTGATGCTGGGAACGTTGTGGATGGGATACACACTCTATCAGTTTAAGAGGAGGTGGGTACTGATGCTGCTGCTAATGCTGCTGCTAATGCTGCTGCTGCTGCTGCTGCTGCTAATGCTGCTGCTGCTTCTCATGATTGTTTCTGATATTCTTTCATCTGTTTTTTTTTTTCCCACAGTCCTTTTCTTCATGCCAAAGTCAGGGAGGTTCTGTCAGACTGTGCTCTGCCAATCTCTGTGCTCCTCTTCTCCTTCATCGGTTCTTACCTGTTCCGTGACATCGAACGTAAGTACCATGAACCTGCTGCTCCAGTGAGCTGTTAAAGCGATTACTTTTATCTGTAACAGCCGAACATTAGCATTGTCTAAGAAAACTAAGGCAAACCATACTTAATCTAAACTCATATAAACATTAGTAAAAAAAATAATTCCCAAATATCTACAAACAAGTTAAAAACAAGTTAATGGAAAAACGTGAACTCCTTATGAGTAAGAAAAAGTATGAAAATACACTTAGAGAAATCAAAAATTCTAAAAATGAATCTTACTCTTTTTTCTTCCAGTTCCAGTTTTTAAAGTCCACGATCGTCCCATCTTCAACGTGGCTCCATTTGAGCGCCTGTCGGCTATGAACGTGATCAGTGCCATGGGTCTGGGCTTTCTGCTGGCTCTGCTCATCTTCATCGACCAAAACATCGTAGTGTCGCTGACTAATGCCCCAGAAAACAGGTTTGATCCAAATACACTTGTGGCTGATTCCTGAGTTTTGAATCAAACCTTCAGACACGCAGCAGTCCTGACTCATATTTATCTTTTTTTTTTTTTTTAAAGTATTCTTAAATATTTTTTTTTTTTTTTTTTAAGTATTCTTAAATTTAAAAAAATAATAAAAAGTTGCCTCAGTAGGTATCATTTTTTTCTCTTCTCAAACATTTTGGTTTCGTTTTTTATATTTCTTCACGGGTTGTTGCTTTAGGCACCAATGTTAAATCACTGCATTTTAATTCAAAATGCAATATTAAAATGCATTGTGTGAGTTTTGGTTTATGGTCAGTAAACATTGTGATGTTGATGTCAGTCTTCCCTGATCTGCTGTGTTCTCCTGAAGGTCTTCTTGATCTTCTGGCATGACTTTAAAGTCAGTTATTCTCTCATAGTGTGAGCTCGGATAGAAGTGTTATGGTTTCCCCGCTGCTGGTCCTGCTCCTGGTCCTCGGCCTGTTCTAAGACCCTGTCTCTGTGCCTGCTCTCAGGTTGTTGAAGGGAACAGCCTACCACTGGGACCTGATGCTGTCCGGTCTGATCAACATCCTGATGTCAGTTCTGGGTTTACCCTGGATGCACGCTGCCTTCCCTCACTCTACCCTCCACGTTCGACAGCTGGCTTTTGTAGAGCAGCGTGTGGAGGGGGGACACCTGTATGAGACGTGAGTTAAAGACAAGTAGCCTTTGATGACAACACAAACATGTCTTCTAGCAGGGTTTGGAGTTGATCAAAAATCAAAATGTGTGTGTGTGTGTTTCCATCTGTGTGTGTCCACAGTATAGTCCAGGTGAAGGAGACCAGGCTGACGTCTCTGGCTGCAAACATCTTCATCGGTGTCTCCGTTCTGCTGCTGCCTGTTCCTCTGCAGTGGATTCCTAAACCTGTTCTCTACGGACTTTTCCTCTACATCGCCCTCACCTCCATCGATGGAAACCAGATGTGTGACCGGATGGCTCTGCTGCTGAACGAGCAGGTCAGTGTGTGTGTGTGTGTGTGCGTGTGTTAAAAAATTTTTTGCAGCAATTTGAATGCATCCAAATACACTTCCCACACATTGTAGAAAATGGACACATAAGGGCAGAAGATTGTATCTTTACCAGTGAGCCCCTGTCCTATAAGGTCATGGACCCTTCATGGTCCTTGACTTAAGAAGGGTCTATGGTCTGACCTGTCAATCTTCTTTTTCTCTCTTGTCACCCGCTCCCAGACATCCTACCCCCCCACCCACTACATCCGTAAGGTTCCTCAGAGGAAGATCCACTACTTCACCTTCCTGCAGATGATGCAGCTGTTGGTTCTCTGCACCTTTGGAATGTATCCTATACCCTACATGAAGATGATCTTTCCTCTGCTCATGATCTTGCTCATCCCTATCAGGTACACAACACAAACACACACACACACACATATGTACACACGTAAACGTACACAATTGAAGGATTTTTCTGATGTATTTTGTAGCTTCAGTGAAGATACAGATTCTCCTTCTCCGACCCCAGAACCACAATCACCATCATTATCATCATCATGAGCAGCAGATACTTGTACATAATAAATGAAACATGAACCTTTACAGAATTATTCAACACACTCTTCTCCACTGTTGCACCCAGTGCTGGGAACGTTCAGGATGAATAATGTAGGTCTGTGTTCCACAGAGTGATGGAGATTTTCAAAAATGAATGAAATGAGTGAAAATAAGAGTGTGACTGAATTCTGATGTTTTTTAAGTCATGATATGAATAGCAGTTGAATTATAGGTTCTATCCTCAGCTTATATCTTCATTCAAAGGTGAATTAAAAACACACTCGTGTCTGCTCTCTGTGCAGGAACAATGTGCTTCCTCACATCATTGAGGCCAAATACCTGGATATAATGGATGCTCAGCACATGTAGCTTCAGCTGGAGACCAGCTCTGGAGGAACGGACGTGGAGAACGAGAGACAAATGTCTTATATTATAAGGAAAAAATCAGGAAGGAAAAAAACAGGAAGAAACAAGGATTTAAAAAAAGAAGCTTATTTTTTAATGCAAAACTGTAAAAGCAGCAAAAAGGAGAAAACATACAACAAAAACTGTTGAGACTTTTGTATCTGATATGAACATTCTCACAGGTGAAGCACTGGAATGGTGGAAAAGAAAAAAACTGGGAAATCTTTTCCGAACCTGGACAGAAACAAAGACCAAGTTTCTCTGGGAATGAGAAACAGGACTGACCACAACTCACTGATATACACCCCTCGACGTCACTGACCGTCTCCATGTTCTCTATGTTCTCCATTTCCTTGGTGTCTTTGTTCTCTACATTGTCTGTATTTGTGTGTTCTCCACGTTCCACTTGTTCTACATGTTTCTGTGTTCTCCTTGTTGTCCGTATTCTCCATCCTTTCCGTTTTCTCTGTGTCTTTGTTCTTCACGTTCACCATGGTTGTATGTCATCCCTACACACCTTCATTTTCTTTAATTGTGCGTGCGTGTGTGTACTTAATCCTCTGACCAACTTTACTTTTCTACCAGCTGAATAAGCTGACCTCTGACCTGAGTCACATACAATCAGTAGCAATGAAAACATAGAGGGAGGGTGTATGTAAGTGTGTGTGCAGGTCGGGGTCATCTGTTCTTCACCACACCTCCTTCTCCAGCTCTTTATTAAAAAACAATATATATATATATATACATATATATGTATATATATTAAAGGGGTAAGGCTTGACTGGGTAATTAAAGAACAGATATTATATAAAAAGTACAGGAAATATTAATGGAAGATGAAATATTTATTTATTCTAATAACAGGTCATCTTTTAATTAGGAAAAATCCTATTTTTATAAATGTTTTCTTCCCCCACTTAACACCTGTCAAATTCAAAGTCTTAAAAGACATTCCAGTTTAAAAAGTCTCTCTTCAAACGTCCCCCTGGTGACATTTCTGAGTCCAACTGGAGCAAGGAGCGGGGTAACGAAAGAAGGGGGCGGAGTTTAGAACTGTAGACAAACACAATTGCACTTGTCTGGACTCACCCTTTAACACTGTTGCTCCTGTTCTAGTGTGAACCACATTCCCAGCAGGATTCTGTCCCCATCCAGAACCGTTTCAGTATATTTCCAGTTAAAGTTTGGTAAAGTTAGAGAAGATATTTAAAAAAGAAATAAAACTTTGGTTTTGCATACATAACTAAGCATTCTTTTTTATGAAAAAAAAAAACAATCTTTTGGTGAAGGTGACTTTTAGAATATTCCAGGTGTTGTTTTCCTGTTTTCGATGTTCTAATTAGATCAATGCTTGCAGACATTGTCATGTAATCAATAATTCTGATGTTTAATCTTGTTATCTACTGTAAAAAAAAAAAAAAAGAAAAAGAAAAAAACAGGTTTGTATCCAGCTTAAAGCATGTCTTCTTTGGGTTCTTTTATATTGTGATACCAGTGGATGTTTATCTCACAGCAGTGGAGGGGAGAAAATGTAAAAATAATAATTGTAGCAGAGACAAACTTCACATACTGTCAATGCAACCATGGAAAATATTAGCAATACTGTGTGTAAGCCTCACTTTTAGGGTTTACAACAAACAAACAAACAAACAGAAGTGTTTCACTCTGAGTTCAAAGAAAATGTAGTAATTCTAACTTTTCTCATCCCGTTCACAGACCTGCTGCGTTTTATGCAGTGAGGAAAACTGCATCAAGGTTTAGGTTTAGTCAAATTCTGTTTTAATCATTTCCTCTTCTGATCCAAACACATTTGAAAGGTTAGAAAATTAAACTTAATTTTCTACATTTGAAAAACATTTTTGTCAACAAATAACATCTTTGTTCTGCTAATGAACTTATCTCAGTCAAATAGCATGGAACTTTTTTGTTGTCCTTACAAGGACCTTATGAATTATATTTTGAAAAACCTTGTTAACTTCCTCTTTGTAGGAGTTTGTAAAAAATACTTTTTTGAATTATTTGCATAGAGTCAGTCATTTTATAACATAATCAATCCATCATCGTGGATATGAGATAATTTATCATTAATTTAATATTGTTCTCATTTCAATTTATGTTTGGATTTTGAGGGGTTCTTTTAAGATAATTATTTAATTTCTGATTTTTCTGCTGTTTTTAAGACAGATATTTTTATTTTTTGTTTCATATTTTTTGTTGTTGATTAATAGATTTCTCTTTTTTAAAACAAAATGTGGAGTTCTTTAATCATTTTAGAAAGTGTAGTATTTCAACAGTAATGACTCAGAAAAACTTGAAATCTGATTGTCCAACAGAAGTGTTATTTAGCAGAACAAAATGAGATTAGTTGATTAGCAGTTTTGTTTTTAGATCTTCAGTGTGTCTCCACTGCATGGTCTAAAGTTTTTGTTTTTTAAACTCATTTTCTTTTCGACAGTGCTGTGTTTTGGTTTTGGTGGAGTCTGGGGATTTGAACTCCCCTCTGTTTATGAAAGTACTTGCTGTTGTTTCTTGGTATCTGCTCTGTCCCTGGTTCTGTTGTAGGATAGCAGCAGGTTTCTCTCAGAGCTTTAAATGTTTGGACTCGGAGAGAAAACTCTTAACTCTGTTGGTGAACACACAAACTGCGTATACTGTGGTTTTTGGTTTTATTTCTGATTTCATATGAATATAAATATATATATATATATACTTTTTCTATCCATGAATGTAAGATGTGTGGATTTTTACATAGCATACTAATTTAGGTGTCAAACAGAATCTGTAATTTTGTCAAAAGATCAGCTATATTTGTAAGCTGTATGTTGTAAAAAGGAGAAAAGCGTAGCGTATTAAACAAATGTGTTGGTTTACTATAGTATATATATAAAGATATATATATGTACAGTACTGTATATATACAGTATATATACTGTGCACCGAAAAAGAGACTATCTCAAGCTGTTTGCCAAATAAAAAAAGTAGAAGTGATGTAAATACATGTGTTTTCTTTGTTAATTGTGGACAGATTTTACTACTATAGAGTTTTTTATGCCTCATTCATGCCTGGTTCATATGTAAACAAAAACAGCAGAATGACAGAAAAAAATAGACACGTCAGGACTCAGTAAATACGAGCTATACGACCAGAGAAGGTGGACTATCACCAAGATGTTCTGCGATCATGATACCATGAGATAAAACAGGTGGAGCAGAAATACAGACGTCCATGTGGTGTCGCCTTTGAGCTAACCTGTACAAAAAGATCAGGGTGGCACAGATCAATTTTAATCAGCAATTGAAAAAAACGAACAGGAGCAGAGAAGGAAAAGGAAGAGGAGGTGCTCCGAAGCGAGTCCAAGCTCGAGCGCTAACTCCAATTCAAAATCTGATCTGAACCAGAACATCCGCCGCCACAGAGCTGTGTGCCGGGACATGAGACTCCTTCAGGGGCGGGTATCAGTCAGTCGGCTCGCAGCAGCAGCAGCAGTGTTAACGGAAGGAGAATTCCTCTCTTCTTTCGCTTCAGCATCTTCTAGGACCTGGATTTCTTGGACCCAGTCAGCGTCGGTTTGTCACAAACAGATTCGTCGTTTCCGTCACTCTGCTGCTAAAAACATGGCCGAAGAAGCAAAGAAAAAGGCGGCCTACGCTGCAGTGGACAACCACGTTCAGGTACAGAGAGCGTGCTCAAGGCTGCTCTATGATTCGGTTCAAGTCTTCATGTTTGCCGCGTTTGTGTTTTTCGTTTTTACCATCACATGTCAGGTAGCTAGTATTAGCATGAACGTACCGAAAGCTCACTTTATGATTTAAGGCCGTAAAAATGTTGGAATTTATACAACTATACAATATTTATAGCCAGAGTAAGTTTGCAAGATAAATATACTTGTTTTGGCAATAAGGCACCGTATTGGTATAACCTGAGGACATTAAAACTCTCTTAATTTCAATGCAACGTCAATAGAGTATTAAGCGCATTGACTAGTAGTTAGTAATACTTGCGTGTTTATAATATATATATTATATATATTTATAATGACAATAAAGACGTACCTAAGTATTATGAAATGTAATTTTAAACTTTCATTCGAGTCTACCCCTGACACGTGAAGGCATCACCACTGCAGAAACTACTGGAAAATACTGTTGCAGTTAGCTTGTTAGCCAGTTAGCGTTACTCTTATCAGACTCTTGTATAACTTATATCCGAGTATATAAAAAAAAGCATAATAATGTAAAATAAAATTAATCTAATGACCATATACATACGACTGATATTGAGTAGTGTATAAATTGTACAAATCCCAAACGGTATCAATGAGTTCAAACAATATTAGACAAATAAGAGTCAGTGCTGAGGCAATAAATGAAGCATTTACTGTTTTCTTTTTAGTATCTTCTCTGTGAACATAAATAAATATGTGCACATAATCGAGATTAAGTGATAAGTTTTACATTTTTGTGTCTGTTTTCTTCAGAACAACCAGGTGGTTGGGGTCGGCAGTGGTTCGACCATCGTCTATGCGGTGGACAGATTAGGTGAGTTTTTTGTCGTTCTGATAAGTGAAACTTTTGTTTCTCAAATGCCGTAACTCCCACTCGTGTTTTTGTTGATTGCTGAAGCTGAGAGAGTGCGTCAGGAGAAACTCAACATAGTGTGTGTCCCCACATCCTTCCAGGTCAGTTTGAAAGTCTGTGGTCTGAACGTTGGACTATAAGTGTCTCTTGTGTCATTTCCCTTTTCTGTCTTTAATTTTCAGCCACAGAACCCAAAAGATTTAAAACACATTTGCTATGAAAAAGAAAACATTGATGTTTTTTCATAATAACAATTTAAAGATGTTTTCAGTATCATTAAAAAACAGCCACCCGTGTGCGAGTAACGGTCATGTGATAACAAGACTGTGCTAGGCTGGAAATTGACCCGCAGTGTTGACTCAGAGCACAGAAGGGAAAAATAAACACTCAAATATCTGTACTTTGCTCCGACCTTCTGTACACTCAGGTTACACTCAGCTAAGGTTATTTATGAAATCTGTTAAACATACACTTTGACATATTCAGATTTAAAACAGTTTTATTTATATTGTGCTTATTCACAGTTAATGCACATGGGACATACAGTATCCTGTATCTTCCTTCATAAACTGAATTGGCCTGAATCTAGAATCATTCATTTTTACTATTCATTTATACTCTGTGGTTTTGTCCTGTCTCAGGCCCGTCAGCTCATCCTCCAGCACGGACTCACACTGTCAGACCTGGACCGACACCCAGAGGTGACATCATCAGCTGTTTAATGAAAACAGACAGAGCAGCTCAAACATTAACAGGAAGATTGTTGTGGTGAATTGTTTGAAAAGTTACAGTAGAGTTAAGTCGAGTCAGTTTTACTTTATGGCTCAAATTCACAGAACATATTGTGCCTTATTGCACTTCACAGTTTTTACCTACTTTTTTTTTTAGAACTATCCTCCAAAAACATTTGACATGTCAACATTATATTGCATATATAGTTTATAAAGTATTGCAAAAATAGATTGAAGCATCGTGTCGGTTCCAGTCGTTGTACCTTGTTTTAGGGTCTGTGTTTGGTGTTGTTTACCGAGTTTTGTTGTTCTCACAGTTGGATGTGGCCATCGATGGAGCTGACGAAGTGGATTCAGATCTGACTCTGATTAAAGGAGGAGGGTGAGTCCATATTAGTACCAAGAGCAGATCTTGTTTGTTTGTTTTTTATTTATTTATTTGTTTTTCCGGTGAACACACTGAAAGCCAGACAATGTCCAGTCCTGTTGGGACCTTTTGGTTCCATAGAGACTGGTGACACTGGGAACCTAGTGGAACTTGTTAAAAAACACCAGTGGGAATGATTTGTCATTCATTTAAAATAGTTTAAAATTAAAATAGTTTCCGTCTGTTCTGTCTCTGTCCCACAGTGGCTGTCTGACACAGGAGAAGATCGTAGCTGGTTGTGCCAAACATTTTGTAGTAATTGCAGATTACAGGTTTGTTTTTTAGAGTAAAATGACTAACAGCTGAATGTATTGCATCCCAGATTATACTTAATAACTTTTTTACTTTTCAGGAAAGACTCTAAGACATTGGGTCAACAGTGGAAAAAGGGAGTTCCCATTGAAGTGATCCCCATGTCCTACATCCCTGTCTCCAGGACCATAGCTAGGTGTTTTGGAGGAGAAGCTCGTCTGAGAATGGCTGTCAGTAAAGCTGTAAGTACAGGATGTTTTGCTACACTGTTTACAGTTGTACTACAGTTATGGGTTTTCATTATTTGTAAGGTATCATAAAAATAGAAGAAACTGTTAAGAAATAATAATTATGGCTCCTTCTGTCTCATTCTGTTTACAGGGTCCTGTGGTCACTGACAACAGCAACTTCATCCTGGACTGGAAGTTTGACCAGGCTCAGGACTGGAAGGAGGTGAACACTGCCATCAAGATGATTCCAGGTGATGGTTCCACAGAGAGTTGAGAATGGGTCAATGTACTTAATAATGAAAATCAATTATTTCAAACAGCAACAGTAGAGACAGTGGTTTGTTCTCAGCATGAAAATTTTCCAATAGCCTGAAATACATCTGGTTGTCAGAGGTTCAGATGGTGTGAAGTTCTTCATTAATCAGCCATCACTCCTGCTGACTTGGTGGTTTCATGTTGTTTCATCAGAAAACGTGTAATCAAAAATGTTATATAAAAATACACATGTGGTGCGTAAATGTTCATTGCTGTCTGGATAATTTTGACCAATATCATTAAGAGGCTATTTTCTGTCTTAGGTGTGGTGGAGACAGGACTGTTTGTCAGCATGGCTGAGCGAGCCTACTTTGGGATGGAGGACGGCAGCGTGCAGGTCCGGGATCCTCCTGTTCACTGACAGTTTCACCTCCCGCCGCATTTTCTTCTCTGACCTCACTCATTCTTTCAAGTGCCGTGTTCTGTGATCTTCTCCCATGTCACACCCGACTGAACTGGACTGGGCTCAGGGAAGTTTCAACTTCTTCATTTTAAAGCAGATACACATTTCTCCTTGTTTTACAGCTGCTGTTTCTGGTTCTGTTTCTCAGACAGTAAAAAAGTGCCTGGTTACATTGTAGGTTTTTTTCTTTTCTCTCTTTTACTGTAATAATTGTTTGACTGAAGCCTGCTGTCACTGCTGCAGAGTGGAAAAAACCCCAACATGCCTAGAAATTAAAAACATTGAATAATAATTAAAACCACTGGCAAAAATGATGCTTTTGAGCCACAAAGTGAATTCATAAAAACTCATTAAAACAGTGTTCTCTGCTGTGATCATGTTCACAGGGAAAAAATATTTTTGAATCATGTTTTTAACTAATGATCAGAATAGATTAACCTGTACTTTAGTGTTAGCCTCTGATTAAAACCAACACACATTCACTTTCATTTAGATCGTGAAAACCACCTGAACCACTCCACAGTGCTGGTAGTATCTGGTGCCACAGTCATCAATAATGGATGTTGGTTATTATTGAACTGTTTGTGTCAGAAAGTTCCTGCAGCAGAACTTGTTTTTTTCCTGGTTTCTGATGTGGCCTCTGAGTTTTGTTTTTTTTCTTCAGTTCTTCTGGGGTGAGCAGGTCAAAGTCCTAAGTGCCAGTGTAAAACACCAGTAAACAAACTTGTCCTTGTAGCTTCTCCACCTCTGACTGCTCTCATTCTGTTTCTGAGAGCAGCTGTTTCCATAATACAACATAGAGAAATACATTTAAACGTGTAAAAGTAAAGATCACATTCACATGTGATATCAATTAACATGTTAATTCACACCACTATTCACAGCACTCAGCTAGGTATCTTCTGAAGCAAAGGTCTGTTCAGTGATGTTATAACCATGGAATGTCGAGAGGGGGCGACATAACCTTAACAGAAATTAACGGCAGACTTCACTCTGAAGATCAGAAGCACCACCTGACCCTAAAATATAAAATCTCATATTTTTGAATTCTGCTCTTCACCCATTGCCTTAATTTCAGCATGTTTTTTCTGTGAGCACCTTTACTGGAGACTGATTTGTGAAAATGTGTAAATGTCTTATGATTCTTGTGTTAGTCAGACGTGGAGTTGATTTAACAATAGATTATCTGGCACTTCGAACATAAAGTGAAACTGTGTCATAACACGATAGGACAATCGTTTTTACCAGCATTCTTTTTTTTCTTTACCAACTAACTGTGATACAGGTCATTCTACTGTGATACTGATCTTTTCTTTGCCAAAAATAAATAAAGGACCAAAAAGAAACTTGAGTCTGTATTGGTATTATTTATAAAACCACGTCCTGATTTTAGAGTTGTTGACTGCATAGGTTTTTGTTTTTATTCACTTTGTGTCACTAGATGTAAAACATTATTAACAATTATTTCAAAACCCCTCAAATAACTGTGGTGCTTGTATCAACATCAAGCAGGACGTAAAAACAAAGTTTTGCGTCCATTTCAACGTCTAGCTTTTCCCATCAGAATAAAATAGGAATTTGTGAAAGTAAGTTTAATAACGAACATAGATTTAATCGACGCCACCGAATGCAGACAGTTATATCGGATGTTTGTTTGTTTTTTTTTTCATGCTGGCTTCACCTTTCTATTTCTTTGTTTATGGGGTGTTTATCGTTTCTCGCACAGCTGCCACTCAAACCTATTCTATATCTATTTGATCAACTCCAATCTATCATGCTATCAAATTACAGAAATACGTTGTTTGTGCTTAATAAACATGGAAAAAGGACAAATATTAAAAAAACAACAAATATTGTTCATGGAATGACCGATATTATATCATCGCTCTTCCTGTTTGTTGGAGAAAACTCGTGATGAGGAACCGGAAGCGTTCTGTTCTCCGCTCCTCCGCAGCCACGTTGGTATTTTAGGTCGGATTTGTTTTGGCAACTGCTTATGATTGACTGCTGAACAAACGAATCGGCGCCTTATTTTAGCCAACAGTTGAAAAGCTTCACCAATAGCGATGAATAAGCATGTATTTTCTTTCTCATAGGGCATAGTGTGATTTTTTTCCACCAATCATGTCCATCGCCGCAGTGACGTCACTCGGATTATTTTACGTCACCTTATTTCGCTCTCACTCTCTGGTTGTGTGGCAGTTATCCGTGCGCATGCTTATTATTGACTGACAGCGGATCAACCAATCAACTTAAGCGTTTTGGAGGCTGGCATATTTTGGGCCCACCTTTTTGAGTGACAGACAAGTCAACCACTTACGTTCTGCTTAGTGTTCGAGCTGCAATGACTTACGTCAAAGCTGTCCATAGGGGAACAGTTTCGGTGGACGTTTGGGTTTTACTGTCCAATCGTAGAGCCGAGATGGGGCGGGCCTTGTGGTTACCAGGGTAGGAAGAGTGAAGTATGAAGGGAATAGCATGGAGTCCCAGTGGCTGTTTATGTTTACTTAAAGAACATACTTTGAATGGACGTTAAAAAACACTCCGTGGACTACTTTACTGCTTTTATATTACATAGTTTTGTTGCACACTTTTGTAGTTTTTTTTTTTGTCTTTTTGATGTGAATCTTCAAAAGAGGACTTTGTAAGAGTGACATGTAAATCTTCTGTTACACTAATGTGCCAGTCTTACAAATGGAAAGGGGGCTTCTCTCTGGAAACGTGAGCATTACCCTGCTGCTCTTGCTGCTCCTGAACGCAACCACCAGCTTTGGCTTCGGGACCTCGCACCCTCGGGGCTCCGCTATCCTGCGGGAGCCGCAGCCAAGCGGCCGGACTGTGGATTCTATCTCGGCGGAGGATGGTGCAGCAGCATCGGGGGCAGTGATGGAGCAGCGCCGAATAGAGAACGTGGCTGCCTCGGTGTCCGGGGCAGATGTTACAGTTGAGGACGACGACAATGGTTCAGCCGGAGATGCGGAGGAAACCTATGGAGAGAGCAACGGGAACGTTCGAGCGACCAGGTAGTTTTCATTTATTTTTTATTTTTGAATAAAAGTTTTAAACCAACTTAAATTGTCTGAACATACTCACAATTAGCCAATTTCTCACATTTATTCTGAACCTTAAAAAGTAAAGCACGATTTTACGCATTTAAAAATGTAAATATTAAATATCATTTGGTGTGAAACATTTTTGTATTCTTCCGCCATTGCAACGTCTTAACGTATCTGCTTCTCGAAACGTCGTTTTAAACTCTCTTAAACTCGCATAACATTCTACAAGTGATAAAGGACACGTAACCCAGAATCAAACAGGTCAACTGTCACAACACAAATCATCAAAGTTGTATTTGAAAACCTGCTACTTTAATTACATGTCCGATAATGGGAGCAATGTTGGGATCGACATTTCGAAAATAAACGTATTGAACATAGTCCCGGAATCAAAGCGATGGATTGTTTAATGTTGTTTTTTTTAAGCAACGATTTAAAAAAAAAAAGATTAAATTAATGTGTACGCCCCAGCGTGTCAATATACGGAAGACCACATTCAGCATGTTTCATTTAAGGAACAGAAACCCACAAACTGGTTTATGATTGGTTTACTGTGTTAATGTGAACGAAAAGATAGTAGTTATGACCAGTGAAGTGAAGGAAGACCCTGCTAAAAATATTGAATATATTTTATTTGAAGGCTAGACTTCTCTGACCACAGAGTCGTCTCTCTTTGAAAGAGCAGTACAAGTCCTGGAACATGGAATGTTTGTTAAACCTATGTTAATGTTATAGCGAAAAGATTAATTATCCAAATAACAATATAGAGTTTAATGACTAAAGGTTTCGAGTGATTTCTTTTTCATATGTGCTTCAACATGATGTGACACAATATTAAGTTTCAGGGATCTGTGTTAATAATTGAAGAATTTAAAATAAAAACAACCACAAAAGAAATAATTAAGCTAAAAAATATACAAAATACCAGTGTTTTTTAATTTTTACTAACAGTAATGAGCAGCATGACACAAGTGTTACTTTCTTTAAAATTGCTGCATTAATAGCTGCATTTTAGACCCAATTCTCTTTTTGGCAACCTGGATATCACGTAACATTCTTAGCTTGATGAAGCTCATCAGACAAATTTAAGACAAAGACAGAAGTTAATTGTATGCATTGTTAGAAAAGGCGTCTAGCGTTTATTGTTTTGCTAGTTACTGGTTTTGCATCCACTGTGTTTACAAACAGACAGAAGCAAAATGTTGTGGAAGCTTTAGCAAAACTATTTGAATTCAATTATTTGTATAGTCTATGTATTTTTGAAATATTACAGCCATTAACCATGATGTCAGAAAGTATTTTCTGGGTAATCCCTTATATTCACAATAACTTGGGATTTTCCTTCTGTACAAAAAACATTTTCTTTTAGCGCGTTCTTGAAACAAGCATCGTCAACCGGATTTCGGGTGCTATACTATCACTTGAACTAGCATACAGCATACATACTATAGTTTAGTCATTTTTACTAGGACACTTTTTTATTTAAGGTACATGGTATCTATCAAAATGTCATAAAATGTCCTGGAGGTTTTGTTGGCTCCATTAGTTGTGAGTTTTCTTAGGAGGAGATTCCATCATTCACGGTATCATGTCTGATATAAGTAGTTTTATTTGAATCCTTGGCCATTAAAATAAAATTATAAAGCTTAATTGTCAGCACTTTGGCTCATAGTCTTTTGTAGTACTACCTCTGGAATGGAACTGTTTTGGAACTGAAGTACAGAACTGTTTCTAGACATCATGTGAGTGTGTGTCACTTCATAAACCTGTTCATAAAATCAGATCAGTTTATTATGTGTTGTTCTTTCTCTGTCTTCTCTCTCACTGAAAAGTAAACATCCAGACGATTGTCTGTTCACATACCTGTGATATAAGTGAAGCACAGAGTTTTGTTACACAGAGGTGTGTCACTGACTTGAACCAACATTCTCCAATTCCGTAATCGTGTGAGGATTTTTCCAGAAGCTTCTAATACTTTGTCCTCCTGCTGCTTCTGTCCAAACCAGAGTTCTCCACCAGCCTCAGTGTGTCACCTATTGATTTTGTCTGCCTTGGTCCAATACCTGCCTTAGACATCTAATGTGCTCTGTATTTTTTCAACTCAAAGCCCATTAATTTTATTTTTTTTCCCCAAAAAACTCAGAAAATTACATATTTTTTCTGGCCGTGCTCTAGTCCCGAGAATCATTGTTATTTTATTAGATGTTGGTGTTGAAGCAGATCTGCTCCCTCACTAAATTATTCTCTGTGTGGACTCTTAAATGTGCAGCCGTCTGACATTCACGTTACACACTGATCAAAGTAAATGATGGAGTTGAAAACATTGTAGAGAGTTGATGATGTCGGTGCACTTTCTACTCTTCCACTAAATCTTTCAGCTACTGTACTTTCTTTGGGTTAGAGACTGAACTATTTTGCCTCTTAGCCATTAACTTTTTTGAATCTTTGAAGCCCTTTTTAGAACAACATTGAGCTCATTATCTTTTCACTTTTATCTATACTAAACAAACAAAGGCCCTTTACTGTTTTAAGGTTAAGATTCTCAATTGAGATTAGTTTATTTTCATAAATCTTTACAAATGAGATAATAGTTGTTTCAATATTTTTCAGTATTATAATAAATGATGCAGTAAAGTCAGCCGGCAATCACTCTGTTTATCCACTGTGTTTGTGTGTTAGGTACCAGGAGTTTTGCCTAAACCATATTTAAGACACTTGTTTCCACCATGTTGAGAGTGGGTGGTAAAGATCATACAAATAAGTTCTTGCATTGCACTAAAAGTTCCATGACTTGCTCTGTGGTCCCAGGTTCTGTCTTGAGACGTCAGTGCACAGTTCTTAGTACCTGTTTATGCAGTAAAAAGATGTGAACTTCCTGACACTGTCTTTAGCCTCTATCTGCTTTGTTGAAAAACACTTGTAGTTCCTTTAGTTACTGAGACACAGAGGTGACATTTACTGTACATTGACACATCCCTGAACCTACTTCTATACAGATATAAATGACAAAACTTGCTGTTAAACATAGATAGTATAAGTGATAGTATAAGTTTGTTTCCACAGTCTGAGGTGAAAATGTGCTGCAGCAGAAAAAGTACTCCTGCTGCTGGTCACACCCTGACACTGTTACTGTTACTGCTCGGTTCTTTGCCTGCATCGATTCATCTCCCCGCATCTGTCACTTTCTGCTGCGTCCTCCCTCCCTTCCTCACTTTGTCACTGTCTTCATCCTCCTCTTTATCTTTTTCTCCTCTCCAGAGCTTTTCTCCATCTGCTAGACTCCTCCTGACATGCACATAATACATTATTACAGAAATATCCAAACTTTTTAACATCAGGTCCAAATTCCAGAAGTCTCCTCTTGAGGTTCTTCAGACTAGCCCAGGATTTTACCATCATATTCACTGCATTCAAACCTTTATTTAGAACAGAACAGTTTAACCCTTAGAACATAAATAATTGTTTGTCTTGAAGGCACTTCATAAAAGCTAGAGCTGGTAAAAACCATGTCTAGAAAAGCTAAATGTTAGCTCGGAGATCAGTACAGTCAAGGCAAAACTAATTTCCCTGTCAGGATGTTCACAAAATGATAGAGAGGAGTTTGAGGAGCTAATTAGCAACTAGCCAACCAAAGTAAAAAAAAAACAACTTAAATTGGGCTAAAGGCTCACATTTTTAGTAAATTATATTTTCCAGAGTAGTGGAAAAAGTAAACCGTTTACTAGTTTTATTAGTTTTTTTTTTTTTTCATCTTGTGTCTTTCTGTCTGATTCTTCTTTGTTTTTCATTGATTGTCTTTGTCCCTCCTCCTCATCTCTCACCATCTTTACCTTCCCACGTTCACATCATCTCTTGAGGATTCTCACTACTCCACGCTCTGTTTCCATCCATCTGCCAGGAGACTTGTTGTTGAACTTTGGAAATATCACCAGGAATCAGACGTGTGATTTTAGTCTGTGGTTACCATCAAAGTCAATCACTTCCTTAAAATGTCAGAGAACACACTTAAAATAACAGCTGGGAAAAATACTTATACTATATTTTACTTTACTTATACTTTTTTCCTTAAATTGTAAACAGGATATAGAACATATCGTAAAGTCAACCACTGTCGGTGACAGACTGTGAACCTGGATAGGTGTGAGGATATAAATCATCTCCTAAGCCCAGAGGAACGAGGTCAGCTGTTTGGAAACAAAACACCTCTCTTCTTTGTAACCTTCAAGGCTGCTGTTTACTCACTTTAACTCTTCTCCTCCACCTCCACCAACACCACCTGTGATAACGAGTAGCAGCCTAGTGATGATAAGCCCACAACACATCTGTGTCTGGGAAGAAAACAAAGCTGTGTTTTCATGACATGGTACTAGAACCTTTTTTTTAACCAAGAACCACTTATCAGTTGAATAGTCCTAGAAGAATCTTCCTCACAACTCCATCAGGCAGTATTTGTTATGTTTTATTATGTTTTTGTCTTGGCTTTGTCAGTAAAAACTCTAAAAATCTCATGCTCTTTTATAAGTCTTTTCTGTTGTACTGTACTATGGTGTGTTTGTACTTTACGTTGTTTTGTTTTCAAAAATTATGATTTAATTTCATCCCTAGCCTGTGACGTTTGACACATTTGCTTGTCTGTCTCTTCTCCTCTATTGCCATTTCTCCTATATTTCTGCTTCATTATATTCTGTTTTCTCTTCTATTTCCGTGTCCTCCTATATTCCTATTTCCTCTGACTCCTTCATGTTCACTCCTGTCTCTCTACTGTGATCCACAGATTTATTTTTATTTGAAGACCAGAGAGAGAGACGAGGACAGAGAAGTTGCTCTGCCTGTGTTTCCTGTCACATGTATAAATATTAAACCACCTCAGCTTTGATCTGTTCTTCACTCAGTGTCAGGAGCAGCACTGATGTCAGCTGACGACTGTCACCTCACTTTTAACTCTGCTGTCTGTATGTTTCCAACTA